GCGGCTGCGGGGTTCCGTGGGGGGCGTGGGCTGAAGTCGGCCCGGTCGTCGGAGGCTGCTAACCGAAAGGCTGGCGATTCAAAACCACCGCGGGAGAAAGACAAGGTTAAAAACAAAATTGAGAAAGACAAGGTTTCAGTCTCGGCACCCGGTGTAGGGTCCCCCTGAGAAGGAACGGATTCCATGGCCGTGGGGGGCGGGGGGACGGGAGCAATGAGCAACAACCGGAGAAATAAGCTACGTCATGATAAACGGAGAAAAGACAGAAGTTGTCAAGGATCTCGTTTTACTTGGCTCCACAATCAACGCCCAGGAAAAGCAGTCCTGAGATCGAGACAGAGCGCCCTGTGCAGATTGCTTCAAAGGACCATGTTCACGGTTTCCAAGGGAAGACATCACCTCCAGGTGAAGGTGCACTTGACCCAAGCCAGGGTATGCAATCGCCTCTTATGCGTGCGAAAACCGGACCGTGGTTAAGGAAGACGTGCTCCTCAGAAGTCTGGGTGGAGAAACTTTTGTCTCCCATCCCTTGGACATCTTTCCAAGAGAGACCAGACCCTGGAGGACATCCTGCTTGGGAAAGACCACCCCCACCCTCACCCCCACTCCACGAGATAGGTCGGAGTGGCTGCCGCTATGGGTGGAGTCTTGCAGTGGTCATGAAGCTGGCACAGGACCAGCAGCTGGGCGGGGATTTGCAGAGGGAGCGCAGCGCAGCTTTCAGTGTGGTGGGAAACCGGTAAGAAGAGCAATCGAACCACAGGTGGGGTACACTTATGGGGTGTAGCTGAACAGGGCACGGAGCTTGGAGGGTAGAGCTGGAAGCTAAGTCCCGGAGGAACACCTGCGGCAGTAAGTAGGAGGGAAGTGGGCCTGGGAGGCGCAGGAAGGGAGAAGGCAGGAGCAGGAGCTGGTTAGGGATTGTAGGGGTGGATGGACAAAGCGAGGGAGCGAGCTTGGGAAAGGCAAGGAGTGATGCAGGAGGGAAGGTGTGGATCTGAAGCAAGAGGTGGGGTTTGGGGAGGGAGGGAGGAGGTGGGGGAGCTGGCAGGGTGGGACCGTGCTCCTGTAGCTAAACTGGTGGGATTCAGGTGTGGGAATCGCTGTGGGTTGGTGGCAAATGCCATTGACTACAGATTGCAGCTTGGAACCAAGTGCCCAAACCTTCAGAGTGACTCCCTGGCAACAGGAACTCTGGCAAGTCCACCAGTCCTTCCTACCGCAAGCTCCTGATCTGTCAAACCGATCTTTTCTGTTCTTGGCTTCCAAGAACGTGGATGCCAGGAGGCAGGTGAAGATTTTACATGCTGGAGTCAAACGGATGCGACCTCACCTCTCCGAGCCTGCATGACCCACCTCACAGGGTTGTCCTGAGGATACATGAGACCACGGACGTACATCTCTTGGCAAAGGGTCAAGGGAACGGTTAGCTCTTTGGAGTAACCTGATTAAAAACTCACATGGATCAGAGCAGCATCTTCCAGTGAGAGGCCCTGTGGAAGTCAAGAAGCCCCTTGAGAATCTGATAAAGGCTACGGGCCTTCTCAGGAAAAAAATGTATATACACACACACACCCCTACACACAGAGCTTCACTCATCTCTTCTCAAATGTTTGAAGGAAGGAATGGGAAGCATCTAGGGTAAAAGGAGGAAGAGTCCTCGCTGAAGTGGCCCCAGGCCTTCCCAGTTGCCCCCCTAAGACTCCTGAGACAGAAGTGGAATAAAGATCAGCTTTATTATCAGTAGGAAGGCAGGGAGGCGGTGGTCGTGCCAAGCCCTTCTGTGGGGTACTTGTCAGGGAGTGGGGTGCTCACCCAGCCAGCAACAAACTTCTAAGGTGGCCCTCCCAGTGAGCTCCAGGGCTCCAGGACCTTCTGGCTCCCAGCAGAAGCAATGGGTGCGCAGGCAGACAGACTGCTAGGTATTGGATAGCTAGGCTTCAGATGGCTGCCCTGGAGTTGGTGTCAGGCTGGGATTGGTAGTGGGTGGGGGCCGAGGCTGGATGTCTCTGGTCCGCATGTAGGACAGCAGCTGCTCGGGGATCTCGGCCAGCACGTCCTTGGCTAGCCGGGCCATGCTCAGCACCTGGTTCCCTGACCGGTCGACATAGTCACGGAAAGGAACAAACTGGGACAGGCACAGAAAAGACACGTGGGTGGAAGCCAGGGCCGAGGAGGGTACAGTACAGGCAAGAACAGAGGGAGGGTCAACTTCTAAGCTAACGCCCTTCCTCTACCTTGAACCGTTTCCCACATCTGCTGTCCCCTTCTCGGCTCTTTTAAGACAGCTCTAACCCATTAGCTGCTCTCAGAAGAAAGCCATGGAATCTGATCCCCCAAAGATGAGTTCTAGAAACCCAATGGAGCAGTTTTTCTCTGTCCTGCTGGGCCTCTGGCCATGAGTTGAGTCTGTTGTCTGGTGTGCACCCTCCGCCCGCTCTAGCAGGGCTTCACTCTCTGCTGAAATGGCCCTGGCTGATGCCGGCAGTGGCACCACGTGGCCACATCAACCCAACGGACACCCTCCTTGTCATCTTGCTGAGTCTCATTCTCTTTAGATGGCCGTGCCTGTGCACCATCATTCACAGCACGGCACACGCGTGGCGACACCACACTCTTCTGGTTGTCCCCAGCCGGACCTCCTCTGCACACCTGGTCCCTTCTCTCCCTCGGCTCCTCCCGGTGAGTTCCTACTCTCCATGCCTCCCATAGGGGCCCATCCCCGACCTTCCTTTCGAAGGTCCAGAACCACGCCTTAAACTGCCCATAGCACATCTCTGTGCATTTGCCTCACAGATACCTCAAGCCTAATGGATTCGAAACGGAATCCCAGCTTTCTGTCCCATCAGCCTTCCCCATCCCAATCAATGCATCCAGCACGCCCACAGGTGCTCACGTTAGAAAACTCCCTCCCACCCCCATCTCAATCAACGCTTTTGAACGCGTCGCACCTCGCTGTCGTGCTGCTTTTGCTCATGTTCTGTCGCAGCACCTGCAGGACATCAGAGCTCCCCTAACAGGCCCTGGCATAATGCACTCCAGCCTTCCCCTCGGCTAGTCCTCTGTGGGGTTTCCACTTCTCTTAGGAGAACGTCCCAATCTTTGTCATGCCCTGCAAGGCGTTGGCTCCCTCGACCCTTAGCTCAATGAGATCCGTCGTCCCCTGTCCTTTCCTTGATGGAGGCCATTCTGAGCCTCAGGCCTTCTCCTGGGCTGATCCCCTACCTCTAAGCTTGTATCTTCCTGCGCATTCTTCAGGTCTCGGCTCAAATGTCATTTCCTCACGAAAGCCTTCCTCGGGCGGCCCTATCTGTCAGCCTCCTGTTCTAGGCTCTTATAGTGACTAGTGGATACGAGGGGGTACCCCCCCAAAAAACGATACTCATTTGTTTTGTGTTTTTGATGTGAGGGGGACAGTGCATTTGGAGTTCATTCCACCAGGTCAGACTGTTCACCAAGCTTTCTATTTAGAGGTTCTGAAAAGATAGCATAACAGTGTGTGACAAAAAAGGTCTGAGTTGTGGCAGACGGGACTGGTTTTGCCACCACGACAACGCACCTGCTTATGCCGGTTTTTGGCAAAAACCAGCATGCCTCTTTTGCCTCACCTGACCTCGCTCCGTGCAACTTCTTTTTGTTCCCGAGAATGAAGAGGGACATGAAAGGACAGCGATTTGAAGAAGTAGAAAAGGTGAAGGAAAAAATGAGGTGCTGCCAGCCATCTAAACAAATGAGTTTGAAAAATGTTCCCAAGAATGGAATCGCAGATTTGACCAATGTATTAAGTGTAATGGAGAGTACTTTGAAGGTGATAAAGGTGTTTTGCTTTAAAAAAATCTGTTTTTTGGCAGGGTACCCCCCTCATGTATCTCAATCTTATTTATGACTGGTTGCCCCACTAGAGGTCAGGGACCTTGGGAACCTCCTTTACCCCAAATCTACAAGGGCTGCAGAGGCTTCCCTGTTTCTCAAAGCGGCCTTGTTCCACGAACAGGAAGTGTGGAGGAGTGAGGGGAAAGGGTTAAAGTCCGTAGGGAAAGTGGCTCCCAACTTAGCTTCTCCCAGGCCAGGTCTACCTGCACGATGTCCCGCTCAGCATAGCGCCCCCGGAAGGACACACGCACGTCGTCCCCATCCAGTTCTTCCATTGCTGCAGATGAGACGTCCCTCAGTTGATTGCTCTTCCCCACCCCAAGTCACCTCCCTCCCTTACAGCTCCCTTCAGCGTCACTAGGAGACCACCTAACAGTCGCATCCAAGTCCTGTGAATATTGAGCTATTGTAATTGCCGTAGACATTGTGTCTCCCACACATCCGTTTCCCCAGGAGCACCGGGAGGAAGTCCAGGGCTGGTCTCCTCCCATTGGTTATGAGGGGGAAACTCGGGTGGGGACCTGGGACTGGCACAGTTCCAATAGGGGCATGCCTCCTATCTCCAGCACGCGGTGGGCCTGGGCTTCCTGGTTTTCTCTTCCCTGAGCTCTCCTGCCTTGGGAGAAACCTTTCCCCATTCTCCCAAGTCGTTGACCTTACTCAGGAATACCACCCCACCCCGCCATCACCCCAGTCCTACTCACCCTCAAACATGGCTGGTCCCACACCCACAATGATGATAGACATAGGTAGTGAGGAGGCCTGGGGGTGGGGGGGGCGGAGAGAGAGGGCGCTGGAGACAGGAGACCATAACAAGCAGGGGGACTCTGAGCGGGAGTGGGTTCTCCTTAGTACTCTCACCCTGGCTCCCTTTGTCCCAGACGCTCCCTTCAAGGGTGTCTGTGTAGCCAACAGCTGTGGAAGGTGGTGCCTTCTCCTGGAGGTTTGTTTACTGTCCAATATAATAATTATATAGCATATATATATAGTGGTTTATGATGGACTCAAAGTTCAGGGCTCCTTTCCTGTAATACAACCCACTGCTTAGTAGGTGTCACCTGTGCCATCCACCAGTGGACATGGATACGTAGAGACTCGGTAAGTGCTGCTGGTCTGGCCACTGTGGTTGCTGTGAACCACAAGGACTTCTGCCACTGTCCCAGGCGTCTCGGGCCGGGGCCCTCTACCAGGATGCGTGGGACCATGGCAGGCTGACTTGTTCATTTGCAAGTAGAGCCAAAGCTTACACCCTCCTGGACTTTTGCTATTTGGTTTTCTTTCTGGTTCCCTCTCCACCAAGCCCTCCTTCTCAGACTCACGCTGACAATGGCTTCCTTGGTCTGTGTCATGTCCGAGATGACCCCGTCCGTGATGATGAGCAGGACATAGTACTGAGACCCATCGGAGATCTTGGCTGCAGCTCTAGGCAGGGGGACAAGATCAGACTCCAGCTGAAAGCCCAGCAAGGCCAAAGGACTTGCCCCCATGCTCCTGCCTGCCTTCCCGCCTGCCCCACTCCAGGTCTGTTTATGAGCACTGACGTCTCAGCGGAACCTGGAGATACATGTTGCGCTAAAGAACCCACCGGCCAATCCCAGAACCACCCAGTAAAATGTGATACAACTGTGCCGAGGCCCATGGGGGGGGGGGGGGCGGGGACCCACAGCGCTAGGCAGCTTGTGTGAAGGGGATCCTGAGCCAGTGCAGAAGCCCTTGAGGTCTCAGGGAGTGCTGCTGGAAGGTGAAGGGGAGGGAGCTAAGTAGAGGGGCCACCACTCTAGTTAGTGAGTCCTGTGAAGGGAAGGAAGCCCATCCTGTGGGTCCCCAGGAAGCACTGATGCCCCGTGAACCTGGGGGTCCACTGAGGGTGGACCTTGGGGTCCACTGAGGGTGGGCAGGGACCAGACCATAGGACTATAAAGAGTCTGTTGTTCATTCAAGAGCAAAGACTGAAGCTCCCTTCTCTGCTTTGGCTCCTATTTCTTCTATCTCCTTTCTCCCATCCAGCCCCCACTCCCATTACCCCCCAAGCTGGGTCCTCCTTCAGCTAGTCTGGCAGCTGCCCCGGGAGCTCCTCATCCTGTCCCACTGCCAGCCTTTGAGTCCATGTTTTCCACCTGAGAAGGACTTCAAAAGTCATTGAGTGCCATTCTGCTATTTCACAGCAGGGCACATGCGGCTATTTTCACATGGTCCCAGGGTAACACCAGCTGAGCTGCTCAGCTGTTGGCCCAATGGTTGGAGGTTCTCATCCACCCATGGGTGCCTCAGAAAAAAAGGCCCGGCAGACTCCTGAAACACCGGCCCTCAAACTCCATGGGACACAGTTCAGCTCACTGAGCTGGAATGGACTCATTAGCCACTGGTGTTTATTGACCCAAGTGGCCTTGAGGGTGTCTTCATGTGGCAAACCATGTATTTGACTCAGGTCTGAACCTTTTTATGGCCAGTCTGGCGAAGGTCCACAGAATGGATCCGTTTGCCTTTCCCAATTCGCACACATTTTGTTTGGCTATTCAATATGTTAACAGATTGAAAATAAGCTCTAGTCATTTATTTGTGCTAATTTAAAAAGCATCCCATTATTAGGGTTATTTTATAACCTCCAATTAAACCTTTCATGCTCCCTATGCCCCTGCTGTGGCCGTTCACACGGAAGCAGAGTGAACGGAAGTGGCATCACAGTCCCTCAGCCCTCGCCTCGTGGCATGTCAACGGCCTGGGACCCACATGTGGTCGTGAGGGCAGTATGAGACACCGACAGAGCCCATCTGCACCACACAGGAAGTTCCACGGCACAGCGTGAGCACGCAGTGAGCAGTCTTTGCTAGCCTTCAGTCCGTGGTAGACAGATGAGGCTACCTGATGCCATAAAGATTTGTAACCTTGGGTTGCAATGTATTGGGACCAATTCGATGGTCCTCCTGCAGCATACTGGAAAGGTGCTCTCTCTGTCTGTCTCTTCAGTTTCTGCCTCCCCGTTGTCAAGGCGAGGTCTCCGTGCGACTTGGCATCTACCCTGCACACCTCTGCTGGCTCGCTTGCTGACTGCTCATGTATCCCAGCTGTACTGACATCAATTCTATCTCATTGACATGACAAAACAGCCCGCTCCCAAATGGTACTGTAACCGCAGGCATCAAGATTAGGATTTACCGCGTGTATTGTGGGGGATACTATTCAATCCATAACAGGCATCTTGCTGGAAACGTCTGGGAAGCTCTGGCCTAGAGGTCATGATTTGTTTATATTTCCGTCTCTCACTCCAGGTAGGAGCTCCCAAGGACAGGACTAGCTCTGACTCCCGAGTCTCTAGCAATGAGCACACAGAAGATGCCCTGCAAATCGGAGTCATGACAGTCACAGCACTGTCACTGCGAACACCAGCAGCAGCGGAGACACACCAGGCACTGTTCTAAGTGCTTGACAGGTAGTCAGTGCTCACGACTCGACTCGTGGTGTAGATTCCTGTCAGCCTCCGTTTGTCATACAAGGAAACTGAGCCACACAGAAATCAAGAACGTCACACAACTAGCTAGGGGTGCCCCCAAATTCCAAATTTGCTGCCATCGAGTGGACTCCAACTCACGGTGACCCCAGAGAACAGGGAAGACAGCCCCTGTGAGTTTGAGACTTTACGGAGTAGAAAGCCCAGCCTTTCTCCCTCAGAGCAGCTGGTGGTTTCAAACAGCTGGCCTCGGGGGTAACAGCCCAATGAGCAACCACTACACCACCAGCCACTCCTTGAGAGAAAGGTGAGGTTTTCTGCTCCCATAAAGAGTTTCTGTCTCAGAAACCCACAGCAGTTCTGCCCTGCCCTACAGGGTTGCTATGAGTCAGCAGTGAGTTTAGTTTCTTTTAAATTTTTTTTTTACTGACCCAAGATAATATTTAAGAATTCTGTGTAGCCCGTTCTCACCCCACCACATCGGCGTGAACACTAAGGTTGTGCAACAGAACAGCAAGGGGAACAGAGCAACAAAGTTCCCAGGGAATACCAAAAATAGACTTTGAGGCCAGGGGGTGGCACCCCATCAGACTCGACTGGAAAACGCTCCTAAAGGTTAACAAACAGGCCCTGACTATTTACAAGCTTTTCTTTTTTTGCTATTGGTTTTTGTTTTGTTTTCGTTTGTTGTTATGTTTTGCTTTGTTTTTTTTTTGTGTGTGTGTGTGTGTGTGTGCTTATTATTGTCTCTGTATGTCTATCTAGATAAGGTAGGTGGGATAAGCAATCCAGAGGAGAAAACAATGGGACCAACAGTTCCAGGGTCACAGGAGAGGGGGAGGCAGGGGAAAGGACGGGGGTGGGGGGTGGGGGTGGGGTGCTAACAAACCAGGGATAAGGGAACAACAAGTGATCTAAAATTGATGGTGAGGAGGGCATGGGATGCCTGGTGGGGCTTGATTAAGGGCAATGTAGCTGAGAGGAATTACTGAAATCAGAGTGAAGGCTGAACATGATAGTGGAATAAGAGGAAAGTAAAAGGAAATAGAGGAAAGAACTAGAAGGCAGAGGACATGTATAGAGGTCTAAATACAGGCATGTACATATGTAAATACATTTATATATAAAGATAGGGAAATAGATCTATGTACACATACTTATTTGTTAAGTATTAAGGCAGCAGATGGACATTGGCCTCCACAGAGGCCTCTCTCAACACAAGAGCACTGTGTTCTAATAGCCCAGCTTTCCGTGATGCTCACCTTCCTGACACCATCACTGACGACAAAACAAATGTGAACAAATAAACAACATAATGTGAAGAAAATGTGAATAATAACATAAACAAATGTGAAGAAAGCTGATGGTGCCCAGCTATCAAAAGATACAGCAGCTAGGATCTTAAAGGCTTAGCGGCCATCTAGCTGAGAAGCAACAGAGCCCACATGGAAAAAACAGCAGCCTGTTTGATCACGAGGTGTCAATAAGATCAAGTATCAGGCATCAAAGATTCAGAACAAAAAATTCTATCAATGTGAATGAGGGGGAGCGGGGAGTGGAGACCCAAAGCCCATCTGTAGACAACTGGACACAGTTGTAGACACATCTGTAGACAACCCTTACAGAAGAGTCACAAGGAAGAGATGAGTCAGTCAGGGTGCAGTATAGCACCCACAAAACATACAACTTTCCTCTAGTCCTTTAGTGCTTCCTTCCCCCCACTGTTGTGACCCCAATTCTACCTTACAAATCTGGCTAGACCAGAGCATGTACATGGGTACAGATAAGAGCTGGAAACACAGGGAATCCAGGACAGATAAACCCCTCAGGACCAATAATGAGTAGAGAAACCAGGAGGGTAAGGGTAAGGTGGGGAAGATGGGTAATCAATCACAATGATTTACATATAACCCCCTCGGGAAGGCAACAAAAGTAGGTGAAGAGAGACAGAAGTAGGTATAAGACATGAAAAAAAAATTATAAATTATCAAGGGTTCATGAGGGAGGGAGGGATGAGCTGATACCAAGGGCTCAAGTAGAAAGAAAATGTTTTGAAAATGATGATGGCAACAAATGTGCTTGACATAATGGATGTATGTATGGATTATGATAAGAACTGTAAGATTCCCCCAATAAAATGAAGAAAAGAATTCTGTGTAATAGCAGCAACAACCAAAACGTACAAGCTCCAGCATCAAGTGGAAAAAGCAGTAGTGAGATACTCCATGCAATCTGACTATAATTATGGATGGACAGGGAAAACACCGTCAGGAACTAGATTTATCCACTTTCCCAGAGGCTGGGTGATTTCCTATTTCATTTCTACAACCATGTTGAGCTACTTTTATCATTAAAGACACTATCATCCTGATGCTGGATTAGAAACGAAAATGGAAGTCTGGGGTCCTATCTATTTCCCTTCAATCCTTCAACATAACTTTTTTTTTCTTTAAAAAATTTTAATTCAATACTAGATGAGAAGGGTTAAGGGGAGGAGGAGGGGAATAAGGGGGAACTGATCAACCCACAACCACACACATGCCTCCAGGGGAAAGAACAGAAACTATGGGAGGTGCTCGCTTCGGCAGCACATATACTAAAATTGGAACGATACAGAGAAGATTAGCATGGCCCCTGCACAAGGATGACACACAAATTCGTGAAGCATTCCATATTTTTTAAATAAAAAAAAACTATGGGAGGAGACAGTGGTTGGTGTGAGACATGAAAATAATAATTTATAATCTATCGAGGGGGAGAGGGGAGAATAGGGGGAAAGGAGCTGATACCAATGGCTCAACAGAAAGTACTGTATATACTCGAGTATAAGCCAACCCAAGTATCAGCCAAGGCACCTAATTTTACCACAAAACTGCATTAAAAATGTGCTGAAAAACTCAGCTTATACTCGAGTATATACAGTAACTGTCTAGAAAGGATGATGGCAACATGTACAAATGTACCTGATACAATTGATGTATGGATTGTAATAAGCATTGTAAGAGCTCTCAATAAAATGATTTAAAAAATAAAAAGGCATTAATTCTATAGACTGTGTTTCTTCCAACTGAGCTGGCCACTCCCCTCTGGGGGCTGAACAGCCAACAGACCATAGGAAGACGTGGCTCTTGGCTTGTTTGAAACCAAAAGCTACTGCAAACCATTGGTGTTGATTCAGGGCTTAACAACCTAACTTTTTTTTTTTAATCTCACCCTTTTACTTTCAAATCTTCTGGACTATGTTGTTTTGCTTGGTATCCACGTAATGGGTTTGAACCACTTACTCATCAATGCCACGAGGGAGTCTTTGTGAGAGGCCAGCTTGTCTCATCGATTGTCCTCCATCCGTGTTTGCTTTCAGGTGCCACCACTTTATTTTACGCCACTTTCTATTGCCTTTTAAGATGTTTCATGTTTCAGATAGCAGAGTAGCGCAGCGGAAGCGTGCTGGGCCCATAAAATGTTTCATGTTTCTTTAAAAATCATTTTACATATGATTAGCGTTTGCTTTGTATTTTAAAAAAATTTATTTTGAAAATTTGGAGCTGTTTTATAATCTATGATTTATGAAGCACTTTATTTTGGCCAGATACTGTGTCAGTAACTCTTAGAATGTTACCAAATTTGAAGGGTCACACTCGGGTCCAATATCAAAGCTTATGCAATAACCAAAACAGAGGCCTGGACTGTCATTCCCAGGGATTGGGGCGGGGCTAGTCTATTGGGACACGCTCTGCCTTGCAGTAAGGCTTTATGTAACCTCTCTGTACTAGGGTCTTGCCAATATTGAACCTCTCACCTCCTCCCCAAAGTTCAAGTTCACCCAAGTGTGGTGCTGACCACCCTTAGGGAGTCAGGCTCGCGTCTGGGTGCCCTAATTCTTCCCCCACCCCACACAGCTACCTTACCTGGCCACCTGGTTGATGACAGGGGCAAAGTAGGTGGGTCCATAGAGCTGCACTGTGCGCAGACTCTCCAAGTAGCTTTCCAGCACACCCTCGATGCCCGCACAGTTGGGGTCCTCGTCATTGTTGTTCTGTCAGGGAAGACGGCCCGGCCAAGCTGAGCCCAGGCAGGGGCTGCCCAGGAGTGCTCTGATCCCAGTTCTTTCTTCCCTTTTCTCACCCCCTTCTTGGAAGCTCCCCTCCAAATTCCAGCTCCATGCCCCTCCCTGCCCTGCCACCCTCACATCACTTCCTGCTGCTTTGTGGGCCTGGAATCTTAGAATACATGCAAACAGAAGAAATGATCAACTTAGGGGACCAGATGCCAGGGCTGTGGACCATCCCTTACCAAGGGGAACTGGTGGGAGATCCGTCCTTCTGGGGGCAACTTGGCCCCAAAGCCGTAGGCTGGGAAGAGCTTGTCACTGTCATAATCTTGGATGATCTCTCCCACTGCCTTGAGGGCCATGGCATAGGCGCTGAGCTGGTAGGGACTCATGTAGTGCAGGGAGGTGGGCTGCAGGGGATTCCCTGTGGGAACACAGGGCTCCCGCCCGCGGTCACTGGTCCACTCATCCAGCCACCTGCCGATCTTTGTATGCTCCAGCTACCTTCTACCCATCTGCCCCTCCGTACCTTATCTGCTCATCACTATGCACACGTATCCATCTCTTACCCGTGCCCACAGGTCTCCGTCCATTTATCCAACCGGCTACACCTCCATCCACCCAGCCATTCCCTCGACCACACCTCCACCTTTCAATCCGTTTATCTGTCCCAATCCATCTTATCTCTCCATTCTTATTTACTGTCTATCCATCCATCCACTCGTCCATTTGTATTTACTTGATCAGTGTAGTCACCCATCCACCCCTTCCATTCATCCACTAATCTGCTTATCCATCCACCTGCCCATTCTCCCATCTACTTGCCTGCTCTTGCACCAATTTAAATATCTGTCCATTTGGCCACCTCTGTATCTGTCCATGCCTTTACTAGTTCAGTCCTTTGTACTCCCCCCACCCCCCGCCCCAACTTGGGGAACGCATCTATTCGCCAGTCTGCCCACCCTTTACTCCCATGAACCTATCCCTGTACCTTACACCCCCTTTCATGCCCAGCCATCCTCACTGCCAGCCACTCGGTGCTGACTCAGAGACCCCCCTGTGGGTTTCCGAGACTGTAACTGCTGATGGGAGTAGAAAGCCCCCAGTCGTCCACCCATGGAGCTGCTGGTGGTTCCGAACTGCTGACCATGCAGATCACTGCCCAACTCATAACCCCTGCACCACCGAGCTCCTGTACATCCAGTTACTCATTAACCTGTTGAGCCAACTGTCCTTTCACCCTTTATCCATCTCTTCACAGTGCCCTCGCCAGCCCTTCCGGCCCAACGCTCTCTCCCCAACAGCCCCACCCTAGCACCAGCTTGACTGGGATGTACCTCAAACCTTGGCCTCCTGGGCACTGAACTCTTGTCCCCAGCCAATCCCTAATGAACCCCTTCTAACTCTGCTCCCCACTTTATTGCCGGCCGCCCCTCCCCGCCACATGCCTCACCGTTGGAAGCTGTGAAGTCAATAGCCACCGTGAAGTTCAGCTGTGTCCTGTCCGGGGAGCAGACAGGTGAGTGAGGGACGGATCCACATAAAAACAAAATCTCTCCCGCATTCGTGTACATGCAAACCACCTGGAGGGCTGATGAAAATGCAAACCCTTGGCTCCAAAGGCCTGGCATTTCTAACACACGTGTGCCAGCGATGCTGAGGCTGCCGGCTGGTCGGCCTCCCTCTGTGCCGACAGCTCCCTACCACCGAGTTGTTTCCAGTTCACAGTGACCCCCAGGACAGGGTGGAACTGCCCGTGTGGGTTTTCGAGCCGGTAAGCCTTGATGGGAGTAGAAAACCTCATCTTTCTCCTGAGCAGATGGTGGTTTCGAACTGCTGACCTTGCAGTCTGAACTCTTAACCCACTGTGCCACCAGAGGCAGAAGAGCATTGCGTGCCATGGGGTGGGGTGCTGGTTACGCGTTGAGTTGTTCATCACAAGGTCAGCAGTTTGAAACCACCGACCATGGCTCAGGAGAAAGACAGGGCTCTCTGCTCCCGTGAGTCTGGGCCGTTCTGTCGTGTCCTAGAGGGTCACTATGCGTTGCGGCATCAACTCACGGCAGGGAGTTTGGCTTTGGTGTGCCAAGTCTATTACCCAAGTAGCTCCACCTCATCCTCGCTGTAGTCCTGAAACAGGAACTCACAGCCCCCTTGACAGAGGAGAAAACTGACGCTCAGAGAAGAGTGCTTTTCCAGCTCTGCCTGCGCCCTGTGAGCCAAGGGGAAGGGCCGTGTAGTCTGGGCTTTTCCTTGTTAGCCTCTCCAGCTGGTTTGGCCATAGCTTTTGTCTGGGCCCCAGTCAGGTTACTGGAGCCACTGTGGAAGATGACTGGTTTGGCGTCTTTGGGGGGATGGGAGGGGAGGAAGCGAGGAAGCCCCGTAGAGGACAAAGGCCTTGAGTTTACAGAGCATTTCTTACTTTGCCCAGCACTTCGGAGTTCCCTGCCTGATCTCCCCGGTGCTCGGTGCTCACCCTTCATATTTAAGAAAGCTGAGGCGCAGAACTGGGTGTAACTCACTGCCGAGCTTCCAGCCCAGGATGGCCTATGACTCACCCGCCTTTGATGTAGTCCACAAATGTGAACTCCGAGTCCACAGAGAAGGACAGCAGCGTCACCTGTGGGACACAAGAGGTAGCCCGGGACAAGCACTTGGGTGCACAGGCGGGTGGGGCCTTGTGACGGGAGGGGCCTGATTCCCACCCCAGCTTAGTCCCACCCTGCAGTTTGTTAAAGGGAGAAAGGGGAGGCAGCCAGCGCCATCTTTGGAATCACAGTGTAGGGCTCTTTTCGTTCGGCAAGAGCCAAGGCCACAAAGGTTCTCCATGAAGGGAGATGGATACCCCAAACCAAAGAAGCACTGCAATAGTGCCACCTGGTGCCCACGGAACCTGTGCCCACCGCCTGCCCCAGCGCCAGCCTTGGGGAGCTAGTTCTATAGGCAGGGAAACGGGAGGGTCCCAGGAGGCCCAGAGCTCCAGGGAACACTCACAGTTCCCGAGTTGACGTATTTCTTCTTCTTACACTTCTTCCGGGGGTTCAGTACCTAAGAGAGGAAGAGAGAGGACTGAGGGTGGAGACGGAGGACGGGAGCTCGGGGATGGGGGCCTGGGCAACCAGGACTGGGCTGGGCTCTCACCTCATACACCGTGAACTGGTTCTGGGCCTTGCTCAGCTCCCGGTAGCTGGTGGTGAATTCCCCAATGAAATCGTGGCTGCAATGAGGCCAGGGGTAGGTGAGCAGTAGCTGCTGCCAGCCCCGAGCCCACTCTTTTACCCAGGCCCCCACCCTACTCCAGCTCTAAGGCGCTGGGACTGCAGCCAGAAGAGGGGTCAAAAGGGGAAGGGATAGTACAACAGAGAGAACAGGGGGACCAGGTCTATATGAGGTCCTGGCATCTGGGAAATGGGGTGGCTGTCACCACCCCCTTGCTGGCTCCCAAGGCTTCTCTGGGGTTCCCATGGCTGTGCTGCATGTCATCAGGGGCTTTCTGGGTCAAGAACAGGAGAGGAGGGCATGTGGGGCAGCTCCACCTTCCGTCCCGGTCCCAGTCGTACACATCAATCTTCACAGTTCTGGAATGCAGAAGCTAAGTAGAGGATGGGGACGTGTATGACAAATTCCTAAGACACCCCCACCCTCACACCCCTCCCCGCCAGGCCATCCACAAGTCATCTTCCCATCCATCTGCCTGTTCGTTTTCCAACCTATCGCCAGCCATCCGTGCACCAGCCCATGCATGTGCCCGACCATTGATGCCCCCACGATGGCTACTCTGCCACGTTTAAAAAGCAAACTAACAAGGAGCCAGCTGTCAGAGTTGATTTCTCCTGCCATTCCTACAACTTTCCCCATGGAGTCTTACTATATTCCAGGGATAGTTCTTGGCACTTTATACATATTATCTCATTCTATAAAGTATTACTATTAGTTTTACTTCAGGGTCTATATATTTCAAAAAGTAACTTTGTAAATGTCTATGGCTAGTATGTGATTGAGCTGAGACTTAAAATTCAGACAACTTGATTCCAAAACCCTTGTTCTTAACTATGTATGTTATCCCATGTGTCCATCTACCTCTGTATCAGTTTTTCCGACCATCTATCTAACCATCTGCTCATCCATTGGCCCATCATTTGCCAATCTAATGACCTTTTCATCCATCTATTTCTCCACTCTTTACAACAACTGAATCCTGCCACCAACTTACTCTTTGATATATAAATCATCCATCTATTTGTCTTCATATCCATGTATCCAGCCCCAAACCTAGCCATTGGATACATGTCCATCATATCATCTATCCATCTCCTTAATCATCTATTATGTCTGTGTGTCCATCCATCCTTTCATACCGTCACCTATCCACGCATCTACATACTGCCCACTTATTTGTTCATATGATCAACTTACCCATATTTTTATACCTGGCCTTCAACTCACTCATTCACTAATCCATTCATCTGTCTACTCATCCTTCTCCTCTATCCCTCACTGGTTTTTCATTCATTTGATAATCCATTCCTCTACCCACCAAACTTTCATGTATTTATCCATTTACTCACTGACTCGCCCACCCACTCATTTATCCATCATTTCTCATCTTACCAGGTACTAACTAATCCACCCATCAGTCCACCTATTCATTCATCTGCTACCCATTCATCCATTTCCCCCACCATCTGTCCACCAATTTTCTTGTATACCTACCCACATACACATTCATCTGTTTATCAGTTTATCCATCCACCCATCCACCCATCCACCCACCCATCCATCCATCCATCCATCCATCCATCCATCCATCCATCCATCCATCCATCCATCCATCCATCTATCCATCCATCCATCCATAGCTCCTTCCATGGATAATCCAACTCTGTGGCTATCCATCTGCCTCCTCATCCACCCATCTTCTTGCCTAGAATCATATCTCACTTCTAACACTTTTGGACACTGTTGCCATCATTCTGGGCCCCAGGAACCTCACTCTTGTGGCCTACTTCCCTCACGCCCCAGCTTATGCTGAAGCAGACCTGTCGTAGTCTCCATTGCACAGGGCCCGCACTGGGATGCTGAAGGGCTGCCATACGGGGTTCAGTGTGTTTTTCACCACCTCTGTCTTGTGGCAGATGGTGAACCTAGATAGGAGCACAAAGATAGGGTCTCCCCTGGGGTAGGGCTGGGCCTGGAGACAGAACCTGTGACTTTCGGAGACTCTGGGATCCCCCAGTATTTGGAACATATGTTTTGTGCTGCTTTGAGTGAATTCTAAACTCAAACCCCCACCCAACCTATGAGCCCGAGTGGACCCCGGATGGTGGGGTTGGAGGGGAGGGAGCAGACACTCACGTGCCATCCTCATTGCTTCTGTAGAACACGAGGAAGGGGTCGGATTTCCCAAAGAAGTCCTTCTTGTCCAGCTTGTTGGCACACAGCTGCATGGTGGCGATGTCCTGGGAATGGAGGCGGCGGCACTGCTGACACCCCAGTGGCCCACAGCCCTCAGCGTCCCACAGGGAAGTGTGGGGAGAGCGGGGAAGGAGCCTCTTCTTTTGAACCTAGCCTGTGGTCCCTACTAACCCGACAGTTGCTAAGCTCCTCTGCGGTCAGCAAGATGGTCCCACACTTCTTGCCTGGCACACCCCTGCAAGCAGAAGAGACCTCTTGGTATGAGGATGAGGATAGCCAAGGCAGACTGAGCTTTCCCTGGGGGTCACCTCACCATTTGCTGAGAGTCCTCCAAATGTGTCCCCTTCTATCCTGAGTGGCTCCTGATAGGGGAAGGGACTGAGGCTGCCTGAGGAAGGGAGGGTTTGTATTCTGGTGGGAAGGAGTTAGATACATGCAGGTGGGCATCACCTAGTAGTAGTGAGGGGGAGACAGTGTGATTTATTTCTAAGGGGTGTGTCTCTGGGCAAGTTGCTTCCCCCTTTAGGCCCTGAGTTGCTTCTGTGGGATGGGAATCATGCTCACTTCTTAAGACTGTGATGAGGTCTAAATGAATTCAGGAAGGAAAAGCTTTATAGATATGCAGGTGGTGGCATTCCTCCAAGCAGGCCCTGGGATCTTTTACATGCCAGGCCTCGGGATCACCTCAGAGGACGTGGAGCGGAATTGGCCAAGGACCCTGCTTTTTCGGAGTTTCCAGGAGGAAATGGGATGCCTAAAGCCAAAAGGGTGTGAGGTAGCATTATAGAATGAGGGCGGGGCTTCTACCCAGACTGGGGGCAACAGGGCTGGCTTTTAGGTCAAAGCTGTCATGTTTATTAAGACCATCAAGAATGAGATAAAAAAAAAAAAAAAAGGAAATTTTTTTCTCTTCCTGACGTTAGAAGGGAGGTTTTCATGGGCTATTCAGGGGGAATAGAAGGACCCCCACCCAATTTTCCTTGGGTCTCCTAGCAGTCAAGGATCTTGTTGATAGGGCCCAAAGGGATCTAGAATGTGGCAGAGAGAAAGATAGGTCAGGTAGGTCCTGGGTTCGAGTCCTGGCTCTACCTTGCTCTATACCAGGGGTCCAGTTGCTCTATAACGGGGCCAGTTCGCTGTCCCTCAGACCCGTTGGAAGGCCAGACTACAATTTAAAAACACTATGAACAAGTTCCTATGCACACTGCACATATCTTACTTTGAAGTAAAAAACAAAATGGGGCAAAAACACCAGGCGGGCCGGAGTTTGAGGACCCCTGCTCTATACTATAGCGTCTATAGACTTCTCCATCTTCAAAAGGAGAGCGTTGAACTACTTCTTTGACTCTGAGATCTAAAAAGACAGAGGGTAATGAGGACAGGGGCTGTTCTCCTCCACATCTGGGACCAAGCCAGCGATCCTGTCATGTTCTCCTTGCCCTTCCCCCTGGCCTGACCTTCTCCCGCCTCCTTTCCCCAGCGGAATTCTAGTCCATTCTTTTCAGTCACTCAACTAGCATCCTGCCTCTTCCCTGCTTCTTGTCTCTTGTGCACCATCCACCACAACCCACTGCGATCGCTCCTGACTCAGGAGTACAGAGCTTCTGAGATGCAAATCTTTGTGGGAGCAGACAGCCTCATCTTTCTCCTGTGGAGTGATTGGTAGGTTTAAACTCCCGATATTGAGGTTAGCCGCCCACCCTAGTTAAAGCCAACTCTCTGTATAGTCCTTACCGTCCCCGTACAGCCGAACCCACCAGAGAGAAACACCATCTTGCTAACTCATCCCATTTTATGCATGACCACAACCTCAAGAGCAGCAGTTCTCAACCTGTGGGTCTCGACCTTTTAGGGGATGAATGAGCCTTTGACAGGGGTCGCCCGATTCATAACAGTAGCAAAATGACAGTGTTGAAGTAGCAATGAAAATGATTTCATGGTTGGGGGTCAGCACAACATGAGGAACTATAGGAAAGGGTCACAGCATTAGGAAGGTTGAGAATCTCTGCTCCACGGGATCCTGAATGCTGCCTTGCAATTATACTGCACTTCCTAAGCCACAAGCGCTCCTCCACCCTTTCCTCAACCCCCCCAAGCCCTCCTCCCATCCTCAAGCTCAGCCCCAACCTTGTTTTCTGCGACACAGAGAGCAGAGGTAACCAGAAGACCACACAGACTGCGCCACCAGGCCTACTCCATGGCTAGCACCTCTACCCACCCGCCCTGCCTCATCTCAAGAGACGAACCACGTGACCATCTGTGCCTGTAGTGGGCACGACATTCCCCCATCTTCTGAGCCGCTCAAGGACGTCTGTCGGCCAGCCCTCTCCTTTTCCCTTAGGTCACATTTTCAGTCTCTACTGGGTCATTCGTATCAATACACAAACATGGATGTGTTTCTTTGAAAATCTATCTATTTCACATTAAAAAACAAAACAATCTTCAGCCTCATTTCCCCTTTCCAACTACGGCCCCGTTTCCCTTTTTCTCATTGCAGGAAGAATCCCTGGCCATGATACCTCACTTCCCATTCCCTTCCTCACCTCGCCTTCAGTACGCAGCTTGCCGGCGTGACCCTGGCTTCCATCGGGTTAAACCCCACTGGCCAGTTCCCAGCCCTCACTCACCCTGCTTGACTCTCTCCTCCTCTGACAGACTGTCCCTACTTGGCTTCCCAGACATCGCCCCTCCTCTTGGGTCTCCTCCCACGTCTGTAGTCTGTAATGGCCCTGGCTGTCTCCTCTAGCTCTCCCTCCAGATGTCTGCAAGGCTCCTTCCCCACCGGACCCCTTCGGGCTGCTGCTCAGAGGCCACCACTCTATTTAAGACGCAGCCTCATGGGCCCTCACCCCCAGTCACTGGCCTTTACTCCCACGGCACCTAACACTTTTTAAATGGGTGATGCAATTTATTTCTCCTGGGAGTCTCTCTGTCTAAGTTCCCAAGGGAAGGAACCTTTGTGTTGGTCACCCCTGCTGCAGCCTGCTCTCGTGAACCCTGGCTGTCTACCACACACGTGATGGGAATTCTGGAGGGCATGAGCCTCCCGGAGAAGAGGGGTTTGGAAGTGAACCTTAAGGAAGGATAAGAGAGAGAGGAGAGAAGGCTTGAGCAGAGTCCCCAGTATGGGACTTCAGTGCAGTGGAGGCCCCCAAGGGGAGGGAAATCCGAGCCTCTCTGGTAGCAGTCAGCATAGTCAGGGACTTAGAGGCACCCACCCAGTCCCCCTTCCCCCTTCCCGTTTGGCTCACGTCAGAGGTCTCTCTACACGGCTGCCCTGGCCTCCAATCACCTCTCCCAAGGCCAGGAACGTTTGTCCCAGGAAATCCTGTTCATGGACATGGAGTCAGAGGGGCCAGGAGGCTGGCAGCTTGGAGTCCAAAGCCAGCTGTTGCCTGTGGCAGCGGCCAGGGTGCCTCCAAGGCAAAAGGGGTCCCCAGAGCTTGTGCTCCCCTTCTAGTCTCACTGTCACCCCCACCCATCCCGCCCTGCTCAGCCTCACCTTCTGCGGGTCCCAGCGGGCGGCCAAGAAGCAAGATGAACAGTGAGCAAGGGGCTGTAGACAGGTACAGTGGAAGGCTGTCCTGGGGTTGAGGGTAGAGTGGGGTGGGGGTGGGTAGGTTTGGCCCAAGGAAGACAGGGTCTGGGACACGTAGGAGGAGGGTCATATAGCCAGCTCAAGGGGGGACGCTCGCCTACCGGTTTGGAGATGTTGGTTTTAGAATCCACGTTGTACCTGGAAAGAGAGCAGGCCCGTCTGGGTGGGAGGGGGGTCAGGTTACAATTGTGGGTGGGAGCAAAGGAGGCCTTGGCCCTGAATTTCAAGCTGGGTCTCATTTCGAGCTGGCCAAGTCAGGGGCAGTGCTGGTGGGTGGGGGGTGAGGGCTCTAAGTGGAGGCCAGGTTCAATTAGGGCACAGATTTGCCTGTCCCAGTGGGGCCGAGCAGGGCGGGGCAGGGCGGGCAGATCCAGGTGAGGGGGCGGGCCTAGCCAGAATTCGGGGCGGGCCCTCACGCATCGAAGCGCAGGTTTTGCTTCTCCTCAAAGAAATAGTCAAGGACGAATTTGCGCACGAAGTCTGGGTTCAACGTGTTGTCGATCACCTCCGTCCGACCGAACTGGGCGGGGGCGGAGGGCGGTCAGCGCGGGCTGCGGGGACAGGTGGTCGGGCGGCGGGACGGGGCGGGGGCTCTGGGACTCACCTCGCGCCACTCCTGGCTGGCGCGGCTCTGCGTGTACAGCACGACCACTGCGGCGGGGTGGGGACGTCAGGCCGGCCCGCACCCCCGCCCGCACCCCAAATCCCTCCCGCTCCCGGGCCTGGCCGCCTACTGGGGTCGGACTTGGAGAAGGTGTCGAGGTCCAGCAGGTTCCTAGGGAAAGCAACCGAAAGACAGACGGAGGGCGGCCTCCCGGGAGCTCAGCCCGCAGCGCTGCCCAGAGTCGGGTACCCGCAGGGGTGAGGGTCGCCAGTCACGCCCCCAGCCCCCCGGGGTCCGCGCCGCCAGAACGCCGGCCTGCCCGCCCACCCTGACCCCCGCCCCGGCCGGCGGGCGCGTTCGCGGGTCCGAGGACCCGAGACGGGCCGCCCCAGAACTTCGTCTCCCCCGGTTCCCCGAGCCCCGGCTCAGCGCTGTCTGGCGGGTGGGGTTTGTGCAAGCAGACCTCTCCCGCGGCCACGCCAAGGGCTGCTGCGCTTGCTCGCCCGCAGTTGCCCACCCCGGGGCGGGGGTCCAGGCCCGCGTGCGCGCAGCAGAGCCGGCTGGCGGGGAGGCGGGGTGCCGCGGCTAAGCCCGCCCGCTCACCCACCGGCAGGAGACAGTAATTTCGATCTTGGTGGCCGGGACGCTGCGCTCGGAGACTCCGCTGAGAGACATGGCTGGGCCGGGGTGTGCGGGCTCGGTCCGGGGGCTGCGGGCTCGCCCATGTGCCGCGGCGCAGCGCTCCCTCCAGCCCTGCGCGCCTTCCCGCCGCGCGGCCCGAATGCGGTCTCCGGTCTCCGGCAGCCGCAGCTCCAGAAGGCAGCCTGGCCCCGCCCGGCCCCGCGGGCGGCCCCCGCCCCATTGGAGCAGCCGCGAGCGGGCCTGCCGGCCGGGAGCCCCACCTAACCGCCCCCCGCAGCCCGAGCCACACTTGGGAGAGTCCGGGCCCTGGCAACTCTCCTGGGTGCTGAAACCCATGGCACTAGAGCCATAAGCCGCATATGGGGAGGCCGATGGGGGTGTGTGTGGTGTCTTCGTCCCCCCAACAATCTACTCCTGCCCCACTCCCTGCCTGCCTGCGTCTCTGGATAGAGAGCAAGTTTCAACCTGTTTCTATTAGCTGTGTGACCTTAGCAAGTTACTCAACGTCTCTGGCTCCCTTACTAATAAAGGCTCAGCACAGGGGTCCCAGGTGTATTGCCTAGAACTGTGGCACCTTGGCTGTGACGGCAGACTGCCAGCCTTTAGTGGCCAGCACGTGCTCAGTAAGCAAGCCGGCCACACTGGTGAGCTCTTTTGTGTGAGGAGCTCAGGGGGCCTAGCACTGCTAGGTCCTTCCTGCCCACACTTCATGGTGACAACTGTGATGCTACACTGCAGACAGCCCCCACCCCCCATACTCACACAGGCAGGGCCCTGCAGGCCACCTGCAAAATCTGTGCCGGGAAACCCCACTGCATTCCCCCACAGATGAACAGGTTGCCAGGAGATGAGGACCCCTCCTCCAGCCCAGGGAGGGCACTGAACATCTCAGAGCCCTGCCGAGAGAGAGGCAGGTAGCTGCTTAAAAAGTTTTATTTTGTGATCTTTTGTGATCGGTGTCACACGGCCTCCTCCCTGGGAAATGAGACTGAGTGGGTGTCTTCTGTGATGGCAGGCCTCTGCACAGGCCTAGGGAACCCCCTCCCAGCAAAGATGGGGCAGGGCGGGAGACAGGTGTGGCCGCCAGTCAGGATGCAGAGAACTGGAACCCTGTTCCCCACCCCGATCTGGCTGGGGGCTGCTGTGGCACTGGAGAATCAGTCTCCCTTGTCCGGGCATGGCTTTGACCCCTCTGGGCAGGGCTCAGCCGGGCTGAGGCAGGACGTGACTGTGGGTCAAGGTTTCACAGGGTGCTGCTGTTGATGCTCCGGAGCCCGACTCCACGGGCAAACTGCTCCAACAGGCCCCCAATGGCCCCGGAAGGGCTGGGGGCAGCAGTGCGAAGGCCCACCGTGCTGCTGTAGGCGGCCAGGAAGGTGGATCGCACCTCCTGCAGCCGTGTCTCCCGACCACTCAGGGTGGCCGGCCTGTGGGGAAGGAGGGAGAGGAGCTTGCATTAAGGACTTGGAACAGAACCCAATACCCTCACCTGAGTAGGCACCCCTTCCCCTCCCCTCTCCATTCCCACAGAGGAGCAACAGCTTCAATTGGATAAAGTTCCAGCTCTGTTGGAAAAATAGCTGCAATGATTTGGGGGGGAAAGGTTATGAGCAAAAGGAGCCTGTTCATGCCTCACAGCTAACAGCAAGGAGGGGGCCCTGTAGCAGTGAGAGACACCCAAGACCAGGTACCAGATCTCAGCCATCCTGGGAGGTAGCGCCCGGCAGAAGCCACAGATCAGCGTCCACCCTGTGGCTCTAGCTGCACCTCATGGTCCCAGGTGGGCGGTAGGTGTGTGTATACACACACACACATAAAAGATTATGGCCTGGGAACAAAACCCAGCACCTCATATATGTAGAAGAGATCACATGCTCTCCGGCGGCCATGCGCCCTGGGTAACCCCTTCTGAGGAACTTGCTGGGAGCAGTAACGCACTCAATTCACAGGGCAAACATGCCTCACTGGATGCTTAATGGAAGCCCTAGCCCTGGCTGAGTCTGCGAGGGCAGACCAGGCTCCAGTGAAGTGGTGGTGGGGGGTGGTATGTGTGTGTGTGTGTGTGTGTGTGTGTACAGAGAGAGAGAAACAGACCCAAAGAGAGAGCGAGAGGACCCAGAGAGAAAGAGGGGGGGGACCCAGTGCAGCTGCAGGTCTGGGCCACAGTAAATCCGAGTAGCTCTGCATGTGACACTGAGGACAGAGTGGGCACTGGTTTCTGCCACACCATGAGCTGCCCCACATCTCCTGGAGTCCGGAGTGGTCGCATGGCCAGAGGTCAGCCAGCCTCGGAGTAAAGGGGAGAGACTGAAGTCCGTGCTTGCACGCACAGGGCTGTACCCAGGCACCCGTGTGGGCGTGCTCTCCACACTCCAGATCACGGAGACAGAGGGGAAGAGGTGACCCCGTTTAGATAAGAAAGCCGGAGCCCAAAGAGGAGATGTGACACAGAAGAGGCAGTGCTTCCAGGGTGGGCAGAGAGCAGACACTGGCTAGAACCACTCCAAGTGCTGTTCCCCGGCACGAGCTGAGCAGGTGGCTGTGTGAAGTCCAGACGGTGCTCCGAGAGACAGCCGGCCAACAGAGGAGTGAGGTGTGGACCCTGTTTCTCTGATAAGAAAGCCCATGTATGGAGCCTAAACACAGCATCATCTTGCCAAGACTCGACCCTGAGCTCGCCCTCTCCCCCAGTCTTGGGAAGCAATGGGATCACTCGTGTTCTAGCCCCTACATGGCGGGGCGGGGGTTGGAGTGGCCTCTTTCAGGGGCTAATTCCAGGTGAGGGGGGCTCCTGCTCGGGGTGTTTCCTCTAGACACAGTGCTCAAGGCTGTCTGTCTGAACAAGAAGCCCCTATCTTTAAAAAGGTGTGGGCAATCTTTCTTTTCATACTTCAAATACTAAAGATGCCTTATTTGTGGCCACTGGGGGGTGGCTATGCCAAACCCTGGTGGCTGCTGCGGCCCTCGGCCCATCCTGAAACCCCAACACTGGGCTGGGCCAGTTTGCGGCGGGCGGCAGGGCCTTCCTTCCCAACTCCAAGGCTTTGGTGAGGGAGGATGACTCCTCACTCAGCACTCAAGCCCTACAACCTGTGGTAGGAGGTGGCGCGAGGGAGGCTTGCTGAGGGGCCCTTGGCAGCCACATCTGAACAGCAGCCTTGCTCCCCAGGCCACCGGAGGTGCTCCCTGCCTGGCACCTGTGGGGGGCAGAGCAGGCGGCCTGCACAGAGGCAGCCACACCGTGTGTGTGTGTGTGTGTATGTGTGTGTGTTTTGTTGGGGGAGGGGGGGCTGTTGGTGCTAAGAGCTGGAGTCTGGCACTGAAGCCTTGAGGAGAGGGTTTTCTGGCCTGGGGAGACTGCACACCAAGAGGGAGAGGAACAGCAAGGAGCCGGTCCTGCTTGGAGCAGCACAGCCCTGGGGCTCAGCCGGGGACCCCATCCTGCATCTCCCTACCTTCATTGCTACCCCACGCTCTGCTTGCAAAGGCTTTCCACGGCAAGCAGTGCTTGGACTGAAATAGAACCTTTTCTAGCTACAGCCTGGCCAGCTTTCCCGCAGGGACGCCCCCGGACACTGTGCGTGCGTGGGTTTCAGCGGCCCCGGTGAGTGGGCCTCCTCCCTAGGCGGAGACATCCGGATGGGCAGGCACCAGGCCAGCCTGCTTTCCTCCTCCTCAGCACTCCAGAGAGAAAACTCACTGCTGCTGGTGCTGAGAAAACAGCCGTCGCTTCCTGATCGAGCCACCATCCTTCACCGCTCCGGCCCTGTACCCCATGGCTTGTCTTGCAAGTAGCCATTGTCAGGGTGAATTCCCATCAGATGGTTCTTAAAAGAGCAGACATCCTCTCCCAGCTACCCTCGAGCACGCCCTCGGGGATGGTGCTGGTTGGCGGTTAAAGACGATCCCAGGGGTTCCTCTGGCTCACCGACTGGGCATGGCGGGGAAACCATCCTGCCTGCTCGAGCAAGACACTTACAGACAACTGTTAGGGAGCTCATCCAGGAGGCTGAAAGGGAGAGAGGAATCTGTGTGCAGGGCAGCCCGTTCCTGAATACTGCCACAGCCTGTTACCATCTGCCAGCTGCCAAAGTCTGTGGAGAGAGAGGATCCGGGCAGGGGATGGTCCACTGATCTGGGGCAGAGAGGAGAGAGAGCGAGACGTGCACAGTCAGTCATCGGCCTGGCGGGGCCACTGCCGCAAGCTTCTGTCCGTAGAACGTGCAGTCAGCCACTGGCTCCAGAAGTGCCCCAAAGCTGGGTGTGTTGTGACCCACAGAGTAGCAGGTTGTGAGGCAGCTTCAGCGGAGGGGACAAGGCTTCATGCAAAGACTTCTGGGAGCAAAAGGGTAAGTAAACGCAAAGCTTGGTGACAAGTGGTGATCCAGCAACCAAAGCCTGGGGTCAGGGCGTGCCTGCCCTGCTGCGGGGCAGAGCAGGGGTGACATACAGCACGGGAAGGCTGGGGTCACTGAGGCACTGTAGACAGTGGTGACCTACATGGGAGAGCCCAAGGCCCCCTTCTCAGAGCCGTAGTTTGTATGCACGAGCACCAGCCCAGCAGACTCACTAGGCTATGTCCAGAGGGAGGGATGAATCAGGCAGCTGACTGACGGCTTCATCAGACCTCAGATTGGGGCAGGTGGAGGGGGGTGATGCCAAAACCCACAGCTGCCACATTCTCTGTGATACAGCCAACCTCCCTCCTCCCTGCAGCTGTCTCTGAGAGGAGACGATGGATGTGGGAGACATCAAACAAGGCCCTTCCAGCGCTACCCCAGGCCCTGGGGCACGCCATCTTTGAAGTGATGGCTCGCAGGAGCAGTGCTGGTGGTGCAGGAAGACATCTAGTGACCTTGGCCCCACCTGCTGGCTGGGGGTCAAGGACTTCAAGTCTGAGACCACAGGCCGGCTCAGCCATCATGCCACCCTTATTTTAAGCAGCTGTGCCCTGAAGGGACTCAGGACTTCCTAGCCAGCCCCAGCTTCGAGATAAGGCAATAACAGCCCAGAGAGGGTGGGGCACATGCTCTTGGCTCCA